GCCCGTTACCCCAGCAACAGAACATAGGTAATACCTTAGAGTGTGACAGTACTCCCTTTACTTTAGCGGAGCTGAAAGAAGTGTTAAAACATTGTAAAGTAAATAAACAGCCGGGTCCAGACTGCATAGCTGCCGAGTTGTACAAATGGTTGAATAATGAAAATAAACGGTTTCTCTTAGATATTTTAAAACATTGGTGGACGGACACTACTGTTCCGCAAGATATCCTACTAGCACGAGTGGTCCCAATCTACAAGAAAGGTGATATCGATAATCCGTCAAATTACAGACCCATATCCTTACTTAATGCAATGTACAAAATTTATGTTTCTCTTGTCCGTGCCAGAGTTCAGAAAGCCGTGGAATTCAAAGTTTCACCCACGCAGTACGGCTTCAGGCCTAACAGATCCACTGCACACGCAACATATTTAATCCGAAGGTTGCAAGACTGGTCCGAACAAAAAAACGCACAGTTTTATCTGGCATTGATCGATTGGGAGAAAGCATTTGATAAGGTGCAGCACGATAAGCTGTTTGCTTCCATGTGTCGACTTGGTTTCTCTCGGCACTTTATTGACATTATAAAAGGATTATACAAGTCGCCAACCTTTTACGTGCAGGATGAATATGGCCATTCAGCAACTAAAATCCAGAACGCAGGGATTCGCCAAGGATGTCCTTTGAGTCCGTACTTGTTTTTACTTGTGATGACCTGTATTGATTCAGATGTGAAACATAATTGTTCAGCTGTGGTCATGAATGCGCGAATTCCTGGGGTGCAATTTGATTCTGTATACTATGCCGATGACACTATTTTATTTTCAACCCAACCTAGTGCCCTGAACGAATTGTTGCTTCATATAGAGGAATGTTCTGAGCATTATGGATTAAAAATAAACAGAAGCAAATGCCATTCCATTCACATGTACCATGAAGCGATTATTCATTTTCGTGACGGAACCCCCCTCAATAAAACTCATGATGCAACTTACTTGGGCAATAATTTGAATTACGCAGTGAACATAGCGCGTGAAGTTTCGCAACGCATCTAAGACACCAAGAGGACTTGGCTGAGACTTGATTCACTATGGAAAGACCCCAGCTCCAATCCCAAATGGAAGCTTTTGATCTATGACGCAGTAATCAGAAGCAAGTTGTTATACAGTTTGGAAACAGTACATCTTACGGGTACTTTACGAAAGAAACTGGATGCGTTTCATTTGCGAGGCCTCAGAAAAATCCTGCGAATGCAAACAACGTATGTGAACAGGCAGAATACCAACCAGCGAGTTTATCAAACAGCTTCGGACATCGCATTCCCATCAGGTAATGGCTGTGTCAAACCATTCACTGAACTACTTGATGAGAGAAGAATTAAACTCGCTGGGCACATCCTTCGGTCGCCAAACAGTGACCCCTTAAGGCAGGTTACATACCAACCAGACAGCGCAGAACCCGTTGAAATAGGAAAAAGACGTATTGGTAGACCTAGACAGCAATGGACTTTCAGATCAAATGAATTAATTCACAGTAAATTAAGCCATACAGATTATCGAGGGTTTGATGTTCAAAATCATAACATTTTGACGGCTGCACGGCAACGTAGAGTTTAGCTCGGGTGTCATCTGGTGCCAAAGCGCCTAGTTTCAATGCCGTGACCGCGCGGCAAGAGGTGCAAGGCGATAGAAAAAAAATCAGTCATACATCACATACATTACATGCATTACATACATTTTTTAAAAACAAAAACATTACTCAGCATTACACATACATTACATCACATACATTACATACATTACATACATTACATACATTACATACATTACATACATTACATACATTACATACATTACATACATTACATACATTACATACATTTCAATACAATACGATACCATACAATACAATACACAATACAATTCAATACATTTCAATACAAGACAATACAATACAATACAATACCATACATACATACATACACACATACACACATACACACATACACACACATACACACACACATACACACACATACACACACATACACGCACATACACGCACATACACACATATACAGACATACACACACACATAGACACACATACACACACATACACACACATACACACACATACACACACACACATACACACACATACACACATACACACATACATACACACATACACACATACACACATACATACATACATACATTACATACATTACATTCATTACATACATTACATACATTACATACATTACATACATTATATACATAATTTACATTACATACATAATTTACATTACATACATCACATACATGACATGCATTACATGCATTACATGCATTACATACATTACATACATTACATACATTACATACATTACATACATACATACATACATACATTACATTACATTACATTACATTACATTACATTACATACATTACATACATTACATGCATTACATGCATTACATGCATTACATTCATTACATACATTACATTAGATACATTGCATACATTACATACACTACATACATACATACATTACAATACGATACAATACAATACATTTCAATACAATACAATACAAAAAATCAATACATTTCAATACAAGACAATACAATACAATACATACCATACATACATACATACATACATACACACACGCAGAAATATATATCTTCACATTTACTTATAGTACACATATATATATATATACATACAAATATGTATATATATATATATAGATACATACATATATGTATGTATGCAAATGTAATGTAATGCAATCTAATTTAATTAATGTATGTATGTATGTATGTATGTATGTAATGTATGTATGGATGGATGGATGTATGTATGTATGTATGTATGTATGTATGTATGTGAACATATATTAACATTCATGCCCACGCAGAATGATGTAGATTTATATTCCAATACCTTTCTAATTTGAATCTTGACTCATCAACATGTTTGGCTCAAGCACCGGGATGGTCCCAGCCGAGGAGTAGTGCTATTGCACTGAAACTTGTGTCAGTGCTGCAGGAGGTTTGGGAACAGATGGTGGGTTGGTGATATCGCCGGATCTCGTTTTGTCTCAATGGGGGTTGAACTTCTTGGGAGATAGCCAAATTGACCAAACAACATTCTTGGCCCGCTTGAGTACCGCCAAAGTTCCCACTGCTGTCCGCCATTACAATGTGACGGAGACAAAGACGATGTGATCATAGGATCATATGATCATATGAGCACTTGCGTTAATATATTCACAAAAATGGAAAAATGTGCTCCAGATTTTGCTGCGAATAAATTATTTGGCGCAGCATGATTTAGGGAACCCCAAACAAAAAAGGTTTTCATGATATGCTATGCCATTATGAGAACCCAAAAGCACTCATTTTGGAAAACGACAACGTGTGTATAAACAGCAGGAATGTGAGATTGGGATCCAGCTGGGATGAGGATTTTTTGAGTAGACTGGTGAAACATTTGACGGATGTATCGGTTGGACTTATTGGGTAGATTATGTAGATTAATTTATTGATTAGATTGGTTGATCAAGTTGATGCATTGCTCTGTTGATTTCTTCAAAAAATCGATCGACAGATAAACAAATGCATCTACAATGCAAGGAATCCGCAATAAAGGCTGAATGACCTTTGGGCTTTTGAGTGGCCTTCATGTGTCTACGAGTAAAAACTCTGGTGCCCTTTTGTCCACCAAAATAGATTATGTTCCGTTCATCCCCAAAATATGATGCACACCATAGATTGACTATTTTTGACTCATTCCGTTCTTTCATTCCCCATACCTTCCGGCAATCAAACCTGGCAATGGAAAACCAATCATTCATAGATGATTTTCCCATGAAAACATCCATTTTCCCATGGGATCTTCCCAGCCACGTTGGATTCCCGGAGGGCAAATCCGTTTGGGACTCGAAAGGTGCCAGCCGTGCCAGGAAAACATGCTAACTTCTGACTGGCAATGGTTGGCTTCAGAGGTGCACACCTGGGAGATTAGCTGTGATGTACGATGATGTACGTCAGCTGTAGTGGAGAAGGGGGTGGAGTTCAGTTTTTTTTTCATGGGTATAACATGGTATAACCATGGTAATGACCTACAGAACTCGGGAAACCCCCATAGCAATGGTTATACGTGGTCAAAACCGCTTCCAGTTACTGGCAAACCTGGCCCGGGATGAGTTGTTCTATCCCAAGTTTTACCGGAAAAGTTTGTGCAAGACATAATAGATTACCATTTTTCCATCATTTTCGATCGCCCATCGGTTTCCCCAAAGCCTGGCCACCCAGGCTATTGGGAGCTGGGGCACGCATCTGGACACGCTGCCCAAAGGCTTCATGCGTTGGAATCCCATATCGAAGGGACCGAAGTATTCGCAGTTCGAAGCCTTGTGGGTCCCATGGCGTGGCAGAACCCCGAAGAAATCACATGGGACCGTGGAATAGGGATCTTTACTATTAGGGGGCCGGGATGGGATTAGTACTCCCCAAAAACATGCGGAAGAAGTTAAGTCAGTTGAATTATTTATAATTTTAGTGGGAACTTACTTTTCTGCAGTTTTTCAGGGGTTGCTACAGGGGGGTATTGTTGGAAACGGGATTGCTGTAAAATTACTCTACTTCGTGTGATCCCCACCATGACATGTCAGGACGTATATTTGGACATATATTTAATATATTCTGACATCCTATCTGACATATATTCTGGCATATATTCTGGCATTCTATCTGGCATATATCCTGACATTCCACCTGGCATTCTATCTGGCAGTCTATCTGGCATTCTATCTGACATATTTTCTGACATTTCATCTGACATATATTCTGGCATTCTACCTGTCATTTATTCTGACATATATTCTGGCATTCTATCTGACATATATTCTGGCATATATTCTGGCATTCTATCTGGCATTATATCTGACATATATTTTGGCATTCTATCTGACATATATTCTGGCATATATGTTGGCATTCTATCTGGCATTATATCTGACATATATTCTGACATTCTATCTGACATTCTATCTGGCAGTCTATCTGGCATTCTTTCTGGCATTCTATCTGGCATTCTATCTGGCATTCTATCTGGCATCCTATCTGACATTCTATCTGGCATTCTATCTGGCATTCTTTCTGGCATTCTTTCTGGCATTCTATCTGGCATTCTATCTGGCATCCTATCTGACATTCTATCTGGCATTCTATCTGGCAGTCTATCTGACATTCCTACATGAGGTCCGGCAGGGAACACTTGGCGTGGATACTCGCGGTTGAGGTCCGGCAGGGAACACTGGGCGTGGGTGGTCGTGGTTGAGGTCCGGCAGGGAACACTGGGCGTGGATGGTCGTGGTTGAGGTCCGGCAGGGAACACTGGGCGCGGATGGTCGTGGTTGAGGTCCGGCAGGGAACACTGGGCGTGGATGGTCGTGGTTGAGGTCCGGCAGGGAACACTGGGCGTGGATGGTCGTGGTTGAGGTCCGGCAGGGAACACTGGGCGTGGATGGTCGCGGTTGAGGTCCGGCAGGGAACACTGGCGTGGATGGTCGTGGTTGAGGTCCGGCAGGGAACACTGGTCGTGGATGGTCGTGGAGAAGAGGAGGAGGAGGAGGACGAGGAGGAGAAGGAGGAGGAGGAGGACGAGGAGGAGAAGGAGGAGGACGAGGAGGACCAGGCAACTGACATAAAATCTAACAACCCTCACCTGGCAGGTGGGGAAAAAAACATGGGGATGAATGATCTGAGCTGTGCAAATGTTTCAAGAAGGCACAAGAAGGCAGGGGCAATGCTATCAATTAAAATAGCTCAAAAACTATCCAAAATGGCTACGTATGTCATTATACAATCATTTGGGCACAACGCCAACCCTATAGGAATTGGTAGCTGAAACAGTGGAAATGGCGATATCAACGGTTGAAAGTGCATGATGAGATTAGGTGTCCACTGTGCACATTAGCCAGTGATTGACGGATATTGGCATGACTTGCTCATCTTGCTCTACAACTGATCCTATAGGATGATCCCTGAGACCAATGGTGTATCATCATGTGTTCCTACTGTAAGTGCACGAAAATTCCCCTGAGACGAAAGCAATTGCCATTCTCAATTGGCTTACACTCCTAATCTCATCTAATCTCCAATTTGAGTCTAATCCCACGGGTGCCCTGGAAGAGGCCTCCATGACGGTGGATGATGTGGTGGGCACCGCAGCAAGGGACAGGTATAAACTGAACAACTTGCGAGTGTCCATTGAAGATGCCAAGGCGCTAGAGTTCCTGAAGAAAACCTCCAACTGGCTGCCCCATTTTTTTAATGGAGGTTTATAGCTGGGAGAGGTACGGGACAATCATCTATGGTGGATTCGGAACTCGTTGGGGGTTCAGCCTTGTTTCAGATTTTTCAAGCATCGAAATGGGATGATTGGTTGAGATGGGTTCAAACCACTATGCAGCCAGCTGTTGGTTGCTTCGGTTTGACGAACAGCAAAGATGTGTGATTTTCCTGTTGGTTACCCCACTCACGGAATCTGTTGTAAATATGTTTTGGTGTTTGAAATTCGTAGCATAATTGATCGGGGTGGTGGGTTATAACTTATAGGTTATGATACTATGGAGTTCGTTGGGCAGCGGCAGTTTGTTGGTACAGAGTTCCCACAAACCTGAGGCGGCGCCTCTCACAGAATCAGTCTTCGACAATGTTGAGATCCGCAGCTACAGTACCCTACTCTTCGACGCATGTGGCTGGCCGTTGGGATATTTTTTGTTCCGGCGTTTTGTGCAATTTTATCGTTGACTAGTGCTCCAAACGGCCCAGAGGTTTGGAGCACAGAATCCACCGTCAACCCATGGGATTTGAGTCAAATTCAGCTGCTTGATGCTGGGTCAGGTGCTGTCGTACCATCCTTTAGCAGTTTGCGACCGAAAATGGCTCATTTGTAGGGCTATTTTAATTACCACAGGGTGTAATATATGAGGCACACACACATGTATTTATATATATATATATACACACACATATGAGTGAATACCACTTTAGTATTGCAGGAGTTTTTTGTAAAAGATGTGCGGGATACACTGTAAAGCGATAGGGCCCCCCCCAAAAGCGATAACCTGGGACCATACACGACAGTCCATTGGCGTAAACCAAGCAAATACTGTTGTGCACATTCACCCAACGGGCAAAACCGATGAGGGAAATTTAACCAGTGGTGCCCTGTTTCCTGCAGTTACTGTACCATATCATTCGGCATCCAACCCGTTCGCTCTCTTTCTCTCTTTCTCTCTCTCTCTCTATCTCTGTCGTTTTGCGGAAAATTCCTTCGAACAATGTCATATGTTGTAGGTGTTGTTTAGCGATAACCTTAGCGATAACCATTTAAGTTGCACTCGGTCCCCTGGCCAAGCCAGAAACCCATTCCCATAGCTTAGAAGCGAAATGAAAGGAAACAAATGCAAAATGAAAGGAACATGCATGCAAATGAAAGGAAGATGAAAGGACATAAATGCACATTGGAATGAACATGAAAGGAATCTGAAAGGAAAATGAAAAGAAATGAATATAAATATGAAAGGAAAATGAAAGGAAAATGATACAAATGAAAGCAACATGAATGGTTGCCGAAGCACCTGAAACCAAAAAAACAACTCCTCGATCGATTCCGAGCCTGTTTAGGAATGGATTTTGGCTTCATGTTGAATCTCGAATATGCTGATTTCCACAAAACCCTGGAAAGCGATAGGGCTCCCCCAAAAGCGATAACCATAACAATAGCAACTACTCAGATGTAAAGGGTTTTGACGGGAGCTCATGTATAGTGTATGCTTGGTATATCTTACGGCATAATAACTGGCTTATCTTGGTTCAACCTTTCTCTCTATTCCCAGATGACTTTCCGCTTGGCGCAGATGTGGGGCGTATGAATGTGCAACACCTCTTGGCATCCGATATGGACTCCTTCAACCATTTTTCAGGAAGGTTTTCCAGAAGGTTGAACAAGCTCACCTCGCCAAACTCCACGAATCTCCAGGTTATGCCTTCATTTTTGCCATCAACGCGCTGCTGAACAGCGGAACTGAGCTGCAGAACATCAAGGAAGAGCTTTTGCTGAACCAGTTGAAGCTGAGCCATTCGGGAAGCACAGTGGATTTTCTGCGGTTTTTGATTTTTTCTCCTTCGCAGGTAGGGGAAACATGCCTATAGAATCTTGAACATATGCAGAAGACTGCCAGAAAAGCAAGAATCTGAAGCTGTCATGACACCTACTACCAACGAATTTGTTCAAGAAGGATTCTCCATGGTTAAAAAAAGCCTCTGATGGACGCAAAAATATAAGAAGGATATGATAATTGCGAAGGAATTTAGGAGGTTTGGTTTTGTCTTGATAGTTTCGTCGGCAGGACATCTACCGCATATTTCTGTCATGTCATCCTGAAGCGATGAGCTCACCTTGTATCATCACATATGGCTAGCAGCTAGCTGAACCTTTCCGAACTAAATGGCGGCTTTAATGGGACAATCATTGAACTGAATGAATCTATTGTAAATGGGTGATTTTCCAGCAAGCCATGTTTGATTACCGTGGGGTAGAAACCATTAACTGAAGTTCGACGAACTGTTGATTTGAGAACAAAGTAGAGGTTGCACAGAAATACGTCATTTTTAAAGCCGGCCTTGGTAGCAGAGAAACTGTCAGTTGTTCGTTCCAGTTGATCTGCAATCGGAGATCCGACTCATCAGCACTTAGCCCAGGGTGTCCCAAATTGTTGTTCGAACATCGCCGGTATGTGATGATGACGACGAAGATGACGATGACAATGATAATGATGATGATGATGATGGTGATTATGATTCAATGACGATGATTCAATGATGGCGATGACGATGATGATGATGATGATGATGACGATGACGATGACGATGACGATGATGATGATGATGATGATGATGATGACGGTGACGATGATGATGATGATGATGATGATGGTGATGATTATGATTGTGATTATGATTCAATGACGATGATTCAATGATGATGATGATTATTATTATTGTGACGATGATGATGATGATGATGATGATTGTGATTATGATTCAATGACGATGATTCAATGATGGCGATGACGATGATGATGATGATGATGATGATGATGATTATGATTGTGATTATGATTCAATGACGATGATTCAATGACGATGATTCAATGATGATGATGATGATGATGATGATGATGCTGTTGATGTTGATGGCATCTCCTCCTTAGTATCCCTCAGATGGTTGTTAAATGTGTGTCCCATGTTTCAAAACAATCAGAAACCCCCTTAAAATCCGACAATGTGATAAACCCAAAAATAACCGCCCCCAAATCATCATAAATGGGTGCTACTAGCCATCCCCAAATGGTAGGCTTATGGTTGAATTTCCCAGAATAATCAGAATATCAATGAATATCAGAATATCCAACTTATTTAAAATCAATCATAGTATCCCGGAATCTGTGACCCGGAGTTTCCGATGAAATCCCCCTGGTACTACCGTACCCCACAGTATCTGGGTCCCCAGGCCGGTTCGAGGGCATTTCAGGAGGGGCGGCCCGTGGCATTGAACAACATGCACTATGGAGAACAGTATGTGTATCAGTGGAATATATGGGTATATGATGGTATATGTAGCAACATCCAAAAAAATGATGTATGAACATGTAATGAGACTGTAACATCCAGCTAAAACAACGTTTTTTTCTTCAAACCAAGGCATATCAATCATCTGTGCAAAAAAACACATCACATCCCCACATGTGCACATCGAATATGTCTATATGTTCGTACATTTTCGTTTGATTTTTCATGTTTGCAGATCCATTCCATCCAACCTCGGCGTGAGGACTGGTGAGTTTCAACGAGAACGGTGACCGCTTGGCAGCCTATGAGCTGATGAACTACCAGCCCACAGGATGGAATGCAACTTGGTAAACGCAAGGTCAAAAAAGCACGTGGGGCTCCGGTGTCATCAAACATGGAATCCCGAAACTGAGATGTATGGAGGTTTGACTTCATGGGAAAATCATCTATTAAGGGAGGATAATTTTCCATTGCCATGTTTGATTAACAGAGGGCAAACATAAAAGAACCCTGGCAACATTCATAGTGGTTTCTCCACATCTTTTTGTAGAGCTATAGGAGGGTACCCTCCAGTGTGATCAGCTCCATGGGTCGTTGGGTTTAAGCTTAAATCGCGGACAACCCATAGCTTCCGTTTAGTTTAACATGTTTAACAAAGCTCTTCCCTTGAACCAAAAAATGAAGGAATTATGTTGCATATGCATGCATATGCTGCGGCGGTTGCATGTGTTCAGGGTGTGCTCATCAGATTTACGAGCCCAAACATTCTTCAAATATTGCTATATACATACATATGTAAGCATAATGTTGGAGATTAGTGTAGGGCCCCTCTCCAAACAAGTATTACTCGACATTTTCTTGGGACCAGGTCTGGGGAACGAACTCGGGATGATTAACTTCAGTAAGGATTTCAATTGATGCCAACCTACTTTCAGTTGATCTTCCTTTTGTTCACCTCAAAGAGGATTCATGTCTCGGCTTGTGAAGGCTCAAGCCCAAGTCTAAGAAGCTCTCAGGTCAGCTTCAATTCATTTTCTCAGCCATGGTGGGTCTGACTAACAAGGAGAAGGATGCTTCATACTGGGCCCATCAGCCCCTCAGCTCAGTTGCAACTCAACCATCGCAAAGGCTGGGGATGGCAAGGGCAAAGGCTCATGGCTACGGCTTCGACTTTGTGGATGAAACCGCCTCGTCCATGAAGCCGTGCCGCATCAATTCTCAAGTGGCCGCGGCGCTTCTGAGCATGGCACTGATACTGAGATTCGAGCAGCCTCAAGCCAGCAGCTTCAAGCTGCAGTGGTGCAGTGGCAGCAGCACACCGTAGCTGACATGACCAAGGGTGCCTGGGGCATTCCCGTTGTAGCAGACGAGCCTGCGTACTGCCGCAAGCAAAAGAACCAAAAGGATTTTAGACCCTAGATTTCCGTCTCATGGTCATTCGAGACTCAGCAACCATTCCAATGGGCTTTGCAAGCAAGGTGTTGGAAAAGGCCACAGTACTATGTTCGCAAACGGAACAACGCCGATGCAATGTGCAAGGGTCGTTTGTGAAAGGTTTTAGAATATCATGGAATCACATAAAAGCATCGCCTATCCAAAACCTGTTCCAAAGCCTGTTGTTCCAAAGAGCCAGAGCCAAACATGGTGTGTTTTGAAACCAGAAGAGAGAAAAACATGTGATAAGACAGTAAAAGACATGAGGTCAAATTGGATTGATAGGATGATGTGGGGTGAAAAGACATAAGGTTTCATGAGGAGGAAAAGACGTATCATATGAATGAATTTTCAGAAGTTTGATTATTTGTATTTAGCACCACAGGCCGTTCATTTTTCACATTTCTGTCCAGGGCTTGCCCGGATAAATTTGTATTTGAAAAGCTCCGTGCATGTCGGCATTGAATGGCTGGTTTAATCGTGTTTCTTGCCGATCCGTTTTGCCTGCCAGGATGCGCCAGAAGATGACGCGGAGGAACTTACAGCCGAGGTGCCAGAGAAGGACCACAGCTTTCCCCAGAAGAGCGCGCGGCGGGCTCTTCGAGCCGGATCAGGTATCTTCAACACAAAAGCGGCTGCGCAACGCTACGGCCCGCACCTGGTGTGGTACGTGAAAGCGTTGGCAGACCCATGTGTTAACTATTTTCCTTTTCCCATATTTTGTCAGCTAGTTTTTTCCTTGGGGAAAAGGTATATTTTTATGAATGGCTCGTTGCAAAGCTCAGGGATGGTTTGCATTCATTCTTTGTTCCTTTTCGCCTTGAGAATCCTTTTGAAGCCACTCAGCAACTTGAGTGCTCTGGTCACTGAGAGGAAGCTGCTCAAGCAAATCTGGTCGGAGACAGTGTATTCTCACTTTCACTGGGCCTTGGTGGCAGCTCAGAGGGCAGGGCCTCAGCAACTCAACACTTGGAGAAGGTATGACTCCCTGAGCAAGGAGCATGAGGAATCACATCCTCAGCAGATCCTTATGGGGGAGTTGCTTGACCCTGACTTTCTTACCTTCAGCAACATTGCTACGCAGCCTGTGGGCAGCAATGCCTCCGGCTGCTACATGCTCCAGCCGGAGCAAAGGCTGAGGCTTTTCAGGGGTGAGTGGCCTTCAGTCTGGCTTGAGAAAAGCTGGAAGCTCAGGTTGGTCACTGTTGTGCCCCAACTGGTGGTTGAGGCAAATGCAGTCACTGAGGCTGCCAAACTCAGCCATGACAAGCTTGAGTCCCAGAAAGCAAAAAAAAATTGAGCAGGCAAGCAAGGCTGAGAAGAGGCTGAGCAAGCTAAATCATTCACTGCCAAAGGCCAGCCTGTAGAAGAACCCAGTGAGATTTACATGGAAAAACAGTCCGGGTGAGGCTCTTGGAGCATGCCTTTGGCAAGTGCGCTAAGTGCAGGTGGCAGTCCAGCTGCCTAGAATGTGACGCGTTCAAGTGCTTTAGGTATCACTTCCACTCAGAGGCTGCTACAGCTCAGAGGCTGCCTTATCTTAGCACAATGCCTGAGGATCTGGAGCAGCCTGAAGGCTACATCATCAGCTGCCTCCTCTGCTACATCCTCTGCTTGAGCCTTGTCAAGTACTCAGCAAAGCTGAGTGGCTTTATCTTTGTGCATTCAGCAAGGCTCAGTGGTTTTTAGCTCTGTCCTCAGCACTGCTTCAGCACTTCACTCACAAGAAGAGGCACTGCCCGGTAAAACAAATAGGATGCCTATAATTACTTGAGCGCGGGGATACCATTTTAAACTAATTTTAACTAACAAATTAGCCTTTGGGGATCAATTTCATGTTGTTGTTGTTGCTGTTGCTGTTGCTGTTGGTGTTGTTGTTGTTGTTGTTGTTGTTGTCGTGGTCGTCGTCGTCGTCGTCGTCGTCTTCGTCGTCGTCGTCGTCGTCGTCAGTGTGCTTGCTGCCTGCGCTGGCAGGGACGGGTGTGCAAATCAAGAAGGGCATTCTTGTTTGGATCCAATTTTGTTCCCCTGACCATCCAATGTATGATATATATATGCTAACATTTGGCTCCGTAGGCTTGAGAAGCAACATTGGCCCATATATGGCATCCGTAGTCAATTTTTGACTACATTCAAAAATCTATGAAATCTGTGAACTTCCAATAACATCCGAGAACATTGTCCGATAAACCCGACGAATCTAATATCATCTTGTTCTCATCCGGATGGTTCCCTTGCCTTGAATTCTACAATGATCGTAGCACATTAGGACGCTTCATTAAGCTATTCTCCACACTTTTTTCGCTAGGACCTTGAATTTATAGAGTTTTGGCGTGCCGAAAGCTCAAGAGCTGGAAATGATGAAGCGGAACTCAAGTATGGCAGTCAATTGATGCGACCCCGAGGTGTGCTAGCGGTATTACTGTGCCCTCTTATGCCCTCTCAACCTCAAGTTCCTCTGAATTTTTGACGGGTTCATCATTCAAGTCCATGCAGCAATGACAAAACATGGAAACATGAGGTCCCTGTTGTCCTGTTGAAATGACCAAGGTTACCTTCATCTCCAAGTTTGCAACCACAAAAACGCAGCAAGAGATTACCACAAAATATTCGGCAGCGCTCCACAAAGATATGGTCTCCCCATGTCTCCCCCAATATCTCCGTCAAAAGAAATTTAGAGAATAAATCGAAGAGGCAACTAGGCCATTACTATAAACAAATCGCCAAAATTCGGCCAACAAAAACATATGTAGAGACCCATGGATCGATTCTCAAAAATAAGTTGGGTCCCTAAATAGTCTCGCACCACAAAGGCGGGCAGCCAAGACAAAGTGGGACATATCATTTCCGGGAAGCAGCGTTTAGTCAAGATTGAAGGCCTTTTCGTTCGATGATTACTCCGTTGTCAAGCCTCTTCCTGTCGTATTTGTAACGTAATCTGGCAAAATGCTTCTTAGGAACCTTTTTGTCTGCATATATAGATGCAAATTATATTGAGGAAAACTTTGTTTTCAAGCAACGCCTCATTGTGAGAGAAATCGTGACGAAACGCTGAGTGCACACATCTCTCTTTCCTGAAACTCTTGGGTTGGGACAAAACGTTCAAATCCCCTTTGAACACAACCACCTTTCTGAAACTTGCCAATCACATTGCCTTACCAATTGTGAAAAACTGCTGACAACATGTCTTTTTAATCATCATGGCTTTAAATGTGAAGCATTGACGAAACCCTTATTCCAGACATGTTATGTTAAATAGGCGTCGAAGGAAAACTTTTTTTTAAACGCTTGACCTTTTTACATGAGACCTTGGTCAAACGGTGGCTTCAAGCATCCTCTTTTTCGAGAAATATGTTGACGGAAAATGACAAAACTCTGTTCAAACATAATCTCCTTTGGTGGAAAACTTGACCAAACATGACAAAAAAATGTGTTGAAACATGCTGTGAACTTGCGCGCATGGGCAAGGATTGCTTACCAAGCTATTTCACAACATTCCGAACGCTAAAGTTGCGAGGTTTCTTGGTTTTACTCAAGGATTTCATGGTCAAATTGTGGATGCTAATACTGTCTCTTGGATGTTTTTTGACGGGCGCTGTCGACAAACAACATGCAACCCTGAGGTCCAGAGATTGAATCTATGCTGTTAGTAAAAACAAATTTTGTTCTAACATCTCTGCGGAATCCTATCGATGAAAACACCCAAGAAATCCCATGAACCCGTGAGATTAGCACAACTTCTACAAAACAAAGGGAACCTGCTGTCATACTCTTGCCAATTTCTACATCATACAAACATGACAAGGGCATACAATGGCAATATTCCCAAAACACGAGGTTCCCTGGGTTTGAACATTTTTCGCCACAGAGCTTCAGTGAATAAAACTAGAAATATCCATGTAAAGGCTGGCTTCTTGCCAGGGTCCCAGGCCTCCAAACTTGGCCCCCTACAATCTCAAAGGGCTTAAGGTTAGTGTCTGAAAACGATTAAAAAAGTGGTAGTCCATACCATTTTGCGCGGCTTGGTCGATCCACCAGGCTGATATTCCTATTATTGAGCTGCATTGTTATAGAGCATTGTCATGCGAAATCATGCGCCTCACACTTAAGTCACGCGAAGTCACGCGGAGTCACGTGAAGTCATGCGAAGTCACGCGGAGTCACGCCAGAGTCCGTGAATGTAGTCAATATTTGGCTACATTCGTAAATCCGTAGTCAAATATTGACTACATTCACAGACACAGTCACGCGCAGTCACGCGCAGTCACGTTCAGTCACGTTCAGTCACCCGTTGATGTCAAAGCCAACGTATCACCAACCGGGAAACTAATATTTGATGAGGCCTCAATTGCAATGCTTGCATGCTACTGATTTTGTGGAATCCTGTTGAACAAGGCTGAAAACATCTTGCGCAGCATGTGAACGACGAGACCGGCTTACTCCTGGCCTCAATTTAGCGAAATTAGACTTGTATCAACGCCACTGTGTGCTGACAAAATGAAAAAAAAAACATATTTTGATGTAACTTTCTTCGCATTCAAGTGAATAGAGCAACCAGCGTTATGGAATTTGCAATGTTGGGGCTTTGTTAGTGCACAATGTGGGTAGCACCTCAACAGTGGAAATTCTTGAAAATTGATTCTACCTCCAGACTGGTTCAACGGGGTGGACTGATATTATTTTGAAAGGATTGCTTTTCTTGAGAAAAACAACAAATTAATTCAGCCCCTTTTAGCGCAACCAAGCAGCATCCAACATCAACAGCAACAGCCACAAAGACCCCATAATTTCCTCCCATTTCTGCGTCCGCAAAATTCTATACAGACAAAAAACGTGAACGCAAGTTCAAAGTGAACCAGTGCCAGGCTTCAACAAGGCGTCAACAAGTATCCACTCCGGTTCTAGGGGTTCTTTGCAGATCATTGTATATTGACAAAGCCAACTCGATCGGAACCATTTCTTCCAGGAGGGGTAGCCAACGAGGCGGGAAGAGAGAAGCAATGGACATGTTTCTGAGGAATTTTCGTCCTGGTTCTTCATCTACAAGAAACAAATCTAAGAGAACGCAAATTCTAGCTAGAAAAAGGGTTTCCAACAGGATGCATTGCTGCTCTAGGGGCGCTATACAACACCAACCCCAATCAATGTTGTCAAGTAGGACACCTATAAAACAGGTGGGATTTCAAACAGGAACATGTTTCTAGGGCACTTAACAGAGTAGGCCTCCTAGATCTCTCGCGATAAAGAAAGAGACAAGTTCTGAAGGCAATCCAAGTTCTACCGCGCCCCACAAAGAGTGTCTAAAAGGATCAACTTCTTTGCTTTGGCCTGTGCAAAAAACAAAAACTCGAATTACTTTAAAAACTAGTAACCCAGGAGGCAGCCAGCGTAATTATTGAATCAAGTAGAGCATTTTCTGTGGATTCCCCCTGCTGATTCCCAAATAATGTTCAACTTAGATGAAAATGGAAGACGGACTGCAACTGAAGACTCAGAAACAATGATTCCAACACAAGACTTCAATAAACAAAATCGTGATTTAAGAATATTTAAGATTTTAGATGAACTGATGACCATTAGCTAAGGCAGCTAAGGCAATTGCCAAGACTTACCCCAGGAATCAATAAAATATTGGAATCAAACGAAACCGATTTTGAGCGCTTATTATGACCTTGACTCTTCTACAATGGTTTCACCCAAAAACATGGATTAACATGGTTCGAATGATTGCCACGTTCCCTGATGACTCCGACGCAAAAGAATCAGAACAACGAACATGAACTAAAATATACTTGCGAAAACTCATCCCCCACGATTCCACCAACCAAAAACGATGTAAGTCAACATATGTTTTGCAAATAAGTCCCAAGACTCACTCCCCGTGATTCCAATAGAAACCACGAAACACCTTCCTACCTGGCAAGTTTGTTTCTTAAACAGGGACCCAAAATATCCCCAAAAAGCATAAGTGTTTGACGCGGCGTTCCACAAGCCAGCATCTTGTTGGCAATGCTTCACAAGCAAGTTTAAGAATGAATAATCATCTGGGTTGGCAGCAACATATGGTACACTCCCCTGGATTTGCATCATGTCCGCTAAATTTCGTTGTAGATTATTTAAAAAAACAATAGATTCCCTTGGAATTCCATAGATTTTGGTGGATTTTGAAAGATTCCGTGAGTTTTCGAGAGATTCCGTGACTTTTCGTGAGATTCCGTGAGTTTTCGAGACATTTCGTGAGATTTCGAGAACACCACCCCCTTTGATGACATGGGCTCCGTAGTCAAATAGGAATGACATTTCTACGTAGGCATATATAACTGACATGGATTCTCAGGGTTCCTTCTGAAAAATTAAGTGTGAGAAAAATCTTTTCGCAAAAGAGTTCCACCCAAACAATTTCAGGATAGTCAATTATTTTTGAAAAATCACGATAGGGTACCATGACACTAATCAGCGTACTCCATTATGTATGCAGAATTTTTATTTGCAACAAATAGATGCACATTTACATATTGGAGGGCGCAGGCAACATTGTTACATATATATATATATAATATATATATATTATATTTATACACAATGTAATTTGAATATTTGTGCATCAGAATGTCCAAGATGTAAATTCATGCCATACTATGAACCCTGCAAAATATAGGTCCCCATATCCCAGCAGCGAACAACCCGAGGTGATCGGGACCTTCAGCGCAGCCACTGGCCAGCTGAATTTTGACACGGCGCCCTACTGGCAGTTTGGTCGCTTGGATTCCTCTAACGTCCCTGAACTGAATGGAAAATCTATAGCTAACATACATACTACCATAATATTACCATCTGGTAATTTAATAACTATTGAAAATGGCCTTGTATAGTTGATTTACCTATTAAAACTGGTGATTTTCCATAGTTGTGTATTTAATATATAGTGTTGGTAAAACCATGCGATAAACCACCCACGGGGCATGGTGACAATACCACCTTCAAGAATGGTGATGATTTGGGGATGGTTTATTCCTGTTTTACCTACATTGCATATTATATCCATCGATATTCGGTGGAGGCTGAGGTTATAAACCACGTTAGAACTCTTTGGTGATTTAGCATTGCGAAAATGGCAATTTATAAATTATATGGATGATTTGTTTGTAAAAATAACGACGTCCCATTGCAACGTCCAACTTCCAAAAGGTATACAGGAAATCCCAACACCTGGGCGGCAGAAACCACAAAATAGATGCAGATGTCTTTGAAACAAAGCCACTGATCAAGGAGAATGAGGATTTTTCCGTGATTTTAACCAACCAACATGGGGATGTCCACCAATGGATTCAACCGAATCATATCTATGGGATTGTTTGAGGTGCTGACAGCCGATGTATCGGGATTCAACCGTGACAAATAGTAGGCCTAGTAGGCATTGGTCATTCGGTGACGAGATGATGGGTATAATATGCATATTAAATTTCACGAGCTCCTGGGATTTTGTGATTTTTAGGGAATATTTGATATCAACGTCAAGATGCAATATTGGTGCAGTGTACGCGCGCAAGGGTCACACGAAAAAACGTAAGCGTCATGGTCTGCACGGGTTTGCACTGGATCAGCCTTCCATATATGGAATTGGATTGGAATTGGTCCAATTCATCGTTCAGAAAAAATGAAACGGTCGAAAGTCGAAAACGGTCGGACACGGTCGGAAACCGTCGGCAACGGTCTGAGACATGATCAGGCCAAAACTTGTTCAACCCGCATTTCTTTTAAAAATAAACATTTCCGCGCAACGCAGTCTTTATTTTGGAGGTCCAAATAATGTGTCCAAGGGGAAACGGTTGGAAACAGTCGGAGATCGCACCTTCGCTCGGCAAAAAGACATGTTTTTTACATAATTTTCAAATATTGTTCATGAACATATGCTACAAAACAACTAAACTACTTTTTTGCCGAGCGAAGGTGCGATCTCGGACTGTTTCCAACCGTTTCCCCTTGGACACCTTGGACCTTCAAAAAAACTGCGTTGCGAGGAAATGCTTAAAAAAAATAAAACGTGGGTTGGACAAGTTTTGGCCTGATCATGTTTCCGACTGTTTCCGACCGTTTCTGACCGTTTCCGACCGTTTCCGACCGTTTCCGACCGTTTCCAACCGTTTCCGACCGTTTCATTTTTTCTGAACGATTATATAATTGGACTAATTCCATGTATGGAAGGCTGATCCAGTGCAAACCCGTTCAAACCATGACGCTGAAGTTTTTTTGTTCGACCCTTGTGCGCGTACACTGCACCAATATTGCATCTTGACGTTGATATCAAATATTCCCTAAAAATCACAAAATCCCAGGAGCTCGTGAAATTTAATATGCAGTCGCTAAGATTAGATTTCGGATGGTGTCTTCTGGGAATACGTGTTGTGTCCATATTTAGATATACAGAGTGAAACCCCTACCTATATAAAAGTCAAGAATCCGACCGAAAATTTGAAATCACATCTTTGTTTTGTCGGGTTGTTATAGATCCAATTATTTGTACTTAATTATACGGAACCAATTTGATAGTGACCATAGCGACCCTAAAGCATCGAAAAGTCAATCTTCCTAGACTAGTGGTAAATCGCTTATCTACTTTGTTTTCAGGGGTTACTGTATGTCACCGCCGAAGGGTATTTAGTTGTGAACCCAACGCCGAAGGGTAGTTGTATACAGTCACCACGCTTATTATCCAAAGACTATCGTCCACAGTGAAGCAGCCGCTACGCAGAAACGACCACGCTCAATATGGATCAGGGTGACGCGGATACGACATGAAACAAACTGGCAACAAACTGGCAGCCTCACCGCAGTAATTACAATTCCAAACTGGCCGCCTGAAATCGCTTGACGAAACTCAGAGGATCAAGAGGAGATGCCCACCACATGCTTGGCAAATGCGATATGCCCTTCACTCACCAATTCACCATGCAATGGTCAAATTGGCACACGTCCGATGGCAGCCCCGCTGGCTCAGAAAACCACGGACGTCATATGCCTCAGGATTCATCACACCACAAGGAGCTTAGAGCCAGGGGTTTGCAACTGACAATGTATTTGGTTAGCATTCTACAAATAGATACAAATAACAACTCAGATCATGTGCTGTCCTGTCCAACTGCTGATCGGCTGTATCTGGGCACAGCAACTCAACCAACTCAGCATTTCACAACCACCTGGGATTGCCCCTCTACCCCAGATCCACTAGTTACACAATTGTCAGGTTCCCCATGGGTTGCCATGGCAAGTCAAAAAATCATTCTGGAGAACCCCCGTATTGTTTGTAAGTAAAAGCTGCACACACACATACACATGGATATTATTTCTGAATTTGAACACACTAAAATACAGTATATGTACTCGTATATATGTAAATGTAATGTAATCTAACCTTTCAAATGTAATGAAATGTCACAAAATGTAATGTAATGTAATGTAATGTAACCTAATTCAATCGAATGCAATGTGATGGTATGTGTGTGTGTATGTAATGTACTGTACTGTACTGTAATGTAATGTAATGTTATAATGTTATAATCACGAAAGCTAGCGTCAGCTAGCTGGAGTCTTCTTGCTTTAGCAAGTATTGGGGGGGCTGCTCAAGGACATCACGTGATTTTTCACGCGAAAGGGGGGCCCCCCCACCACCACCACCACCACCATCACCACCATCACCACCATCACCATCATCATCATCATCGTCATCATCATCGTCATCGTCCTCTCCATCATCGTCATCATCATCATCATCATCGTCATCATCGTCATCCTCGTCATCGTCCTCGTCATCGTCATCGTCCTCGTCATCGTCATCGTCATCGTCATCGTCATCGTCATCATCATCGTCATCATCATCATCATCATCATCATCCTCGTCATCATCATCATCATCATCGTCATCATCATCATCATCATTCATCATTCATCATTCATCATTCATCATTCATCATCCATCATCCATCATCATCATCATCATCATCATCGTTATTCAATTACATTTTATCATTATTGGCAATTATTGTCATTATCACGAAAGCTAGCGTCAGCTCGCTAGAGTCTTCTTGCTTTAGCACGTATTCCGGGGCTCCCCAAGGACATCACGTGATTTTTCCCGCGAAAGGGCCCCCCCCTGCCCCCTCCCCCATATATATCATTGTTATATATCATATATCAATATAATATCATTGTTGCATCCTCGTTGGGACGAACAATGCCGCGACACGATGATGACAGTCCCTCCGCAACTCACCTCTTCCCTTCCTTCTTTCTCCTACCCCGCTAGCTTTCGTCATCCACCCCCGGCCTCAAGTGTAATGTAATGTAATGGAATGGAATGGAATGGAATGTAATGTATGCATGTATGCATGTATGCATGTATGCATGTATGTATGTATGTATGGATGTATGCATGCATGCATGCATTCATGCATGCATGTATGTATGTAATGTATGTATGTATGTGATGTTATGGTATGTTATGTTATGTTATGTACGTATGTACGTATGTACGTATGTACGTATGTACGTATCTACGTATCTACGTATGTACGTATGTACGTATGTACGTATGTACGTATGTACGTATGTACGTATGTACGTACGTATGTACGTACGTATGTATGTACGTATGTACGTATGTATGTATGTTTGTATGTATGTATGTATGTATGTATGTATGTGTGTGTATGTGTGTATGTGTGTATGTGTGTATGTGTGTATGTGTGTATGTATGTAATGTAACGCAATGCAATGTAATGTAATGTAATGCAATGCAATGTAATGTAATGCAATGTAATGTAATGTGTTGTTATGTAATCTATGTATGTCTGTAATTTATTTAATGTTTTGGTATGTTTTGTTATGTGATGTAATGTGATGTGATGCAATGTCGTGTCATGTAATGTTACGTATGTATGTATGTAATGTATGTATGTATGCATGCATGCATGTATGTATGTATGTATGTATGTATGTATGTGTGTATGTATGTATGTATGTATGTATGTATGTATGTATGTATGTATGTGTGTGTGTATGTATGTATGTATGTATGTATTTATGTATGTATGTATGTATGTATGTATGTATGTATGTATGTATGTATGTATGTATGTATGTATGTATGTTGCGGACGCGGCCAACCCGTCGGCCGCAGCTGCTTTTTGCCCGCGGAGAGCCGCTCGCGGTGTCGCTGCAGCAAGTGAAAAGTTTCAAACTACTTACGCAGCTTTATGGCTTGAACCAAAACAAGTGAAACAATACACACTGTACAGCTACAAATGCTTGTGATGGTGTACCATCATTTTCCATCGTAAATTTGAGTTGACATTTCAGGTGTGTCGTCCTTGATGCCTCCCTCGGAGAAGACCAGCTGTGCTTCCGGGTACTACAAGGACAACCCCTCAGAATTGGTAAATGTCGTGTGGCTCTTCTTCGCAGTTTAACCCGAAGAAACATAGGGGTTAGAGAAAACGATATGAACATATTGTTCTGAAGATTTCTGAGTGTTTGGTTCAGTTCGGCATATATCGATATTTATCCATTGTTTTTGGCCAAGTAGATGAGGGATATGAGGATTCACCAGCACCAACGGGTTTGCTGGATGGGCTGCCTTTTAGATCAGCATTTGCCGCCCTATGCAATGACGTATATAATGGAAGAAAATGGAAGAAACATTTTCAAAAAACGCCATTCACAATATATATAGATAGAATTACGGAGATATAGATAGTTGCAATCATTTTGGGAAGCGGAATGAACATGGTTTTAACATCTTTCAGCTCTTTACTTGCTATACTCCGTGCATACCTTTGATTTTACAACCATTTCATGACCACTAAATCACGGGAAATTACAATTGAATCATGTGCTGCACATCCTTTGGCCCAGGAGGTGCAGTCCCACCGGTGCTTCCCATGTCCTCGGGGATTTTACTGCAATGGTGCTGCGCCCCAGCAATGCTTCCGAGGAGGGGTCGGCGGATAGAGCGGACGGAGCCTCACAAAAACGAAGGTGAGTCTAGCGGCCAAAAAGCTTGGTGTTTTTGAATTGAGACGGGCTACAACTTTCTCCCGGAGAAAATTGTTTGATCCATTTTGGTCCAGTCGGGGAATACGCCCTAAATATACTTAAATTCCATTTTGTTCCAACCCTTGGGTAGATAATCCCACTTAGTGGCCCTTGTCATGTCACAATTTATATGGTCGCATATTATATATACATATATATACATATATATATATGCATTTATGCATTTGCGTGTGTAATCATGATTTTCATCATCGAAATATTCGTGAACCATTGAAAATTGTCAACCGTTTGGTGAAATTTGTTGATTTAATCATCACCCCCACCCAGCTATGGATCGTTTTTGATGGCTTTATCACCATGTTCCCACCATTTTCCCCATGAAAATATGGCCGTCAACCATGATAAATCTTGGGTTTTTAGTTTGTCTCATAAAGTCAAATCATTTTTCCCATAGTTAGGTAAACTATTATTTTCCCACCATTTTCCCATGAAACGATGGCTATCCCCGGGCAGGACATTTCTCCAACAGCAACGGCGCCAGCTTCTGCCGCCGCTGCGCCAATGGCACCTTCGCAGCTGACCTGGGCTCGACGAAGTGCATCAGCTGTCCCCCGGGGCGCCATGGCGACCGATGCATCGGACATGATGGGATTTTACTATCAAAATACCCTCTGATAATTTAACAGTTTGCTATTGAAAATGGCCATTTACAGCGAGTTTTCCCATTAAAAATGGTGACTTTCCATAGTTATGTTAGTTTACCAGAGGGTATATCAAAATGACGTTGCCCTTTGGTAAACATACAAAACACTTTGGACAATTACCATTGGTACTGTAATAGGTAAACAAACTAAATGGGCCATTTCCAATATATAGCTATGTAGCAAATTACCAGAGGGTAATTCAAGGCCATTATGGGGTTTTCCATAAATTAATGTTTTAGATGGTAGTAGGAAAGACATATTATTAAAATGGATGATGGGGTACCCCCATTTTAGGAAACCTCCATATAGCTGATGAAAATCACTTTTTGACCAAAAAAATAATTGGTTATTTTGACGTCGTATGATGTGATTTTAATCAAGAAAGTTTGATGAATTCAAGATATGTTTTTTTACTGCAATTATTTGATATAGCCTTTGGTAATTTAACATAACTATGGAAAATGACCCATTTATAGATGATTGTCCTTTCAAAATTTCTATTTATAGAATATGTTCCATTGCCAGTTTTGATTATCGGAGGATTGTAGGATATTCATGGGACATTGATGGAATAGTATGGAGTACGTATTGTCTAATACATACATATATGTGTTTATAATAAACCAAATATTAACTAACAACCAACATATGGGATTAACATGGCGCCGGCGCCTGTAAGGTGCCATGCGTTCATGGCCATTTCAGATTGATGGCGACTTTGACAACCACCAAAAAATGCTAGTTTTGAACAACTTCACTTCACATTGAATCACTGTTTGAAAAGCTGTCAAACCCATTGAAAGGGTTCGCTGAAGATGGCATTTTTGAAAGCTTTTCCAAGACTTCGCACATTTGTTCAAGTCACGGGGCCACCTCAAACTTTATTGTTGCCATATTTGTGAGTCTAGAGAAGTTCTTGTGACGTAGCATCAACTAATTGATTTACAAAGTAGCTGAATGTTATATAAGTAGTAACTACAAGAAATCAGCATAGTGTAGCAAGAAATCTAGGAACATTCTTGTGACGTGGCATCAACTAATTGATATACAACGTAGCTGGATGTTAAAAAAGAACAACAAGAGAAATCATCATAGTGCAGCATGAAGTCTAGAGAAGTCCTTGTGACGTAGCATCAACAACTTGATATACAACGCAAGTGCAAGAACGTTATTGCCCCAACCAACCCCAAGCCAACCAACCCCACCCCAAGTGTATGACGTATGCACAGGAAAAGTACATTAAGGACGTTGTTGCCCCAATTCACCCCTCCAACCAACCGCACCCCAAGACGTAGTAGACAAGTATATAAGCAATGGAGAAAAAAGGACACGAACGCACGGCACCTCTTAGGCACCGGCACCATAAACATGGGATAGCTGTAACCAATAATTTCATTTTATTGGTGGGTGATGCAATAAATCCAATAATACTTTCATATCTTTCATGTAGTAGGCTATTTCTGGGAAATGGAAATTGGTAGTTTTGAAAAATAGTAGTGGCGCTATACAATGTATGGTTCAGTCGGTTGCTTTATGGCAAACCCAAAATAGATAAAAAAAAGTTGGAAACCTGAAAAATGATGAACTTATCATCCACAACATCTCACAAACACTTTTCTATTTTTTGTGGGTTGCCTCAAATATCAGGGTTCCTGTAGGTCTTCCTTTGAAACCAATCCAGCGAATGACTATATGTTCCATGCGCAGCCATATTCGTTTATATTATCTCAAAGTTGCTCCGTCTATGGTTTCTACGTTCCCTGGGTTCCTGTCAATATTGGCATGATGATGGAATATTACTTATAACAGCAGCTGTTGATGACTTCCGTTGGTAATTCAACATAGGAAATCACTTGTTGAGTAGGTAGATCATCAGTGGGCCATGTTGCATTTGTTGAATTACCAGAGGGTATCACATATGTAGGTTTGATGGGTCAATATTGGGACGACAAAAAAACGACAATGAGACCATGGGAGGAAAATAGGAGAATGATGGGTATTTACCAGTTGGCCGAGCTGGTTTATAACCTCCATTAACTATAGTTATACTGACAATAAACCATACTTAACCTAGTTATACATTAACTTCGCTACCAGGCGGGGGGCATACCTTGTAGGGGTCAACGGAATGATCATGGGTATTTCATTGGTTTCCCATAGGTACCGAGGTGTTCCAACGTATCCGGGGTGTTGGGGGCACCTCTTGGCTTTGCGAATGAACAACATACGGGAAACCTATGTGCATTTTTTTAATGGGTCGTCTTCAATGCAGAGAAAGTGAATGATGCAACTGGTAACGTGCGAAACAAACAAATGATGAACCCAATTTATTTCGCCATGTTTTTTAATATGCTCCCCAAATGGGACACGTCTTTGGGTAAATTCTATGTTCTATCCCAGCTGGGATGATCCACTTAACTTTCTGTTTCTCCCAGGTGATCCAACCGCCAACTATCCCATGTTTTAAGACACCCCTATGTTTGATAGTAAAAAGATTTAACAATCATTGTTTTCATTGGTTTATCGCAAAGTACTATCCATTCAAACTCCCGTTGGCAGCATCAGATTCTGATTCTCCATGACTTTTCTTCAATGATCTCCTCATATCTCCTCAACCCAGCAATGGGCGCGCAGGTTCTTCGGCGCAACGGAAGGGCTCGAGGCATGCAAGAAGTGTCCGAAAGGACAGTATATGCCGCTGGGATCCGCTGGGTGCTGGTTGGTTGGGGAATTTCCCCTGGCTAAACAATGCTAAACCTTCTGTTGATTGTTGTATCAACAGGTTGATTTTCAGTCCATGTTTGGCGTCTGGATACTTGCTTCTTTCGTCCTTACTGTACCCGTGATCCGATCTGACTGAGGTTGAAGACAATGTGTGCCCACACCGGGGAAAGATGTATGATGTTCAGCTCAATGTTTTTGTCCAAGGGTAGCCATGATCAGTACAAATTTGCCGGTTACATCCAGTGATGAACATTTGTAAGGTGATAATGTTCCTGATAGCCAGTTGGTAAGTTTGCCTGATGATGAAGTCGTTTTCCGGCCAGATATAGCAACTACCGAGAGAAACCCTTCAGAACCCAGTCGGTTCGGCAAGCAATGTGACCATGCAGGCAAAAGTACGGTGATGTTTGATTGCCAGTCCCCATTGAAAGCAGGAAGTGTTGTTGGTAGCAGCTGCCCTTATTTGCTTCAATGCATCATAGTTGCAGCCATAGAAAAAAATGTTTATTCTCGCATATTTAAATTCGCCGCCTTGGTTGAGGATTCGAATCACTTTGGCAGTCCATACGGAGGCTAATTCATATAAGGATGGATCAACACCTACCAGCTCTCATGTTCACCCAAGTTGGGATAATAGGGCCTCTATAATTTTGGCCAAAACCCGACTTAAGAAGTGGAACGCAATGGTCTGGGGATGTAACGGGATATACGTATAGCATACCTATATATATATATATAATGTCTTGATTGGTTTTAAAGATAGGGATTCAAAAAAAAGTAATGATCTTTAATCAGCACGCACGAGTGGTGGTTGGCGGCGAATAAGCTCGTAATGAACCGTTCCAGCATTTTCTTGCAACACATGTTGCACAATTTTGGCATGGTTTCAGGCGACATGTTCATAACTGAATCCCGTAAAAACATAAATGTCCTGGACCAGGCGGATAATGATAGGATCTTGGTTTTGAAGCCCCTTAGCGGCTAGAGACCAATAGTTCCATTTCATGGTTCCTACAATTTTTGGGATCCTAAGGGGAGGACAGCCCCTTCCAAGGCCGTCCTATAAAGCCCTGAGCTGCATCAGCTGTGGCATGGACATGGAGACCGAGGAGAGTGGCGCACAAGCCCTGGCGGAGCCGCTGTGCCCTTTTGGACCCCCATGTGGCTTACTGGATAGAGATACCATTGATATATGTTTATATCATATATGGCAATGGGAAATTTTCTGACAGATTAGCTTTACACCAAATCATCTCTGGCTTGTTTTTGTGCTTACCAAGAAAAATGAGGAGATTCTCGGGCAAAGATGTCTTTAAGAACAACTTAGGAGTTGACAAAGAGCAGTTGGCATTTGACCCTTTGGTGATCAGACGTGGCATTCTCAGTCTTTTTCTTGAAACTTATATATGAATTGTTATAGATTATAGATGTGGGATTTTGCGTTGCCTGGGTGCCTCTTACTTTAGGTTTACAGTTTTCGGCAGCAATGAATGGTGGAGAAGCATTGGGAAAGGAAAGGCCGCAAGACAGACTCTTTTGACCCCTGTGTTGCATGCCAGATTCGCCCAAGAATCATCAAAAGTTCTTCCACTTCCCCTAACCATCTACAACCATCTGCAACCATTGACCATCAAAAAGACCCTTTGCTTCTTTGACAATTTTAGCATAGCTAAGGCAAATCCCCCATTTATAGATGATAAATATGATGATGTACCTTTAAGGATGGTGGATATTCCCACCAGAAAAAAAACAAAGTTCAAATTACCAGCATTTCATCCAGCTCAGGTGTCGTTGTGCCGAGGGCTCCTTCCTTTGCAACGGCAGCTGCCTCCCGTGCCCCAAAGGCCTCCGGTGCCCGGCGGGGCTGGAGCTGCCCCAGCAGCAGCCTGGCTACTGGACGCCCAGCAGGGCGGAGTTGGCCGACTGCAGCTTCCAGGTGCTGCAGTGTTGCTTGGGCCATCAACCGGTGATTTTCATTTTTTTTAATGGGATTTCATGATGGCTACTGATGCTTGATAATTAATGGGTTGTAATGATTAATCGTGATGATTACTGATGATTCATTTGTCAATACTATTTAATTACCAGTAGTACCGCGCAAGGCGGTGGCGGAAGTTTCAGAATAGGAAACCTATAGGAGACGTTGGTTGTTGTGAATCACGGATGGCAGAGCGAATCCACTGATTGACCGAAAGGTGGTTGGAGTTGTGTTCGCTGGAATGGTTGCAATGGTTGCAGTGGTCACCTCACCCACAACTGCTGGATGTAGTGTGATGTACTGCAACTGTAGTTGTAGTTGTAGCGTAGTGGAGTTGTAGTTGTGGTGTAATGTAATTAGTGTAGTGTAGTTGCAGTCATATAGTTGTAGATGTAGTTGTTTTGTAGTTGTAGTTGTAG